AAATGGACGGACCTCTCCTCTAATGCGCCCAGCGCCTTTCCTGGTGTCTTGGAACAGCGAGCAGCGAGGAGGAACGTGGCGGGCCTTGCCCAATTGCCCATAGCTTATAGGCCGCCTGGATGTGGGCCGGTTGCACTCCCCTTCCCTGCTGCTGCCTGCTGGTTGCGGTGGAAAGCCCATCCGCAGGCCCATCACGGCATCGGTCAAACCCGACTCCACCCCACCGGCCACCACTGCGTAGCCGCCACCGTTCCGCTCCGCTCCCCCGTGCCGTGCTGGTCTCCACGCACCGCTCGCAGCCGCCGCCGCACCGCCGGCGAGGCGACTAACCTCCTCCTCCTCCCCCTCCCCACTGCTGCGCGCGACACAGGCTCATCGGACCCTCTCCACTCAGGACTGTAAGAGGAACCGAGACGCCACCTGGGGCCTCCGACGCTGCCTGGTTAGTAGTACTCCGTCTTAGATCCTCCTCGTTTACATCAGTCTCGACGAATCCGCGGGAGCTAATCGGTAGGCACATCAGATACAGCTCGAGATCGTGTGAGAAAATCGGTTTTTTAGGTCAGATGCGCAGCAGATTACCAAGCCGGATGCGCGCCCCTGCCGCTCTTGGATTACGCTGCCCTTGTTCCAAGATTTTTTTTCTTTTCCTGCTGGGATAGTCTGCTGACCGGCGGATGTGGGAAGTACCTGGTTCGTCCTGGGTCTGGCACTGGCTCCGCTAGGGCTTTTCGCGGCGGCGGGAATGGGGGCTTAGGTTTTGCTCGGCAGATTTCGCCTAGAAACTCCTCGGTGGCTCTGGCTCGGGTTCAAGTGAGAAGTGACTTTAGGGATTGTTTGCCATTTTCCTTTTCCATGGTGGGGATTTTCCAGCGCGAGTCTAGTCAAGTGGAAACAGATTTAGTTGATACGATTACATGTTCTGCCGAATTCAGGTAGTCATACCAGATGGGTGATATGTATTGGACTGGGGATACAATGCTTAATATCTAAACTCATCTGTAATTTGTCTTTGATTTATTTGAATGTTGCAGAGCCTAGAGGGTTGTTGCATATTTTTGGAGAGTCTGCGCTCCTCCCTGCTACACCCGTCCCATCTCCATCCCTGTCAACAAGATGGCACGTCAGTCCCCGCTCTCACTCGCGAGAGATCAGGCGAAGGTGGGCGCGCTGAAGCGTCTGACTCTGAGCTCGTCCAAGACGGCAGGGCGGAACTCGTCCGGGCGCATCACCTCTTTCCACCGTGGCGGAGGGGCCAAGAGGCTGCAGAGGAAAGTCGATGTGAAGCGGGGCACCTCTTCCCTGGGCATTGTGGAGCGGATCGAGTACGACCCGAATCGCTCTTCTAGCATTGCTTTGGTGCGATGGGTCCAAGGGGTGCATTTCCGCCGCCCCAAGGCTCTACAAGATCCCAGCGCCAAGCCACCGGTCCTGGAATCTTTCACTGCTGATGTCTCTGGTCGGTTTTCCCTTGCTCCATTGTCTGGTAGAGTGCATAAAGAAAAGGAAGCTGCTGCGCTGTACTCTTCTTTGGGAAGTGGAGATATCGCAACTCTTAAATCTGGTAGGAGCTTACCTAGGATAGCATTAGCTGGTGCCAAGCCCACTTTCTATGCTCAAGTCAGAGGAAATGAAGAAGAAAAACAGACATTCTCTCTCTCTGGAATTCAAAAATGGGCAGCGGATGATGCGCTTTGGACACAGAGAATGAAGCGTCAAGCTGCTCTCTCTTGGCATGATCTCAAGAAGAAACCTTTGCTTCAGACACAGGCTAACCGCTTTAGTAGCTTGGCAGCAAAGTCTACTGGTACGAGTAAAGGGCCAAAGGGAAAGGCTGATTGTGTACCAGTATCTTATATACTGGCCAGTCACCAATGCATGCCAGGTAGTACAGTGATGAACTATGACTCCTCGAAACCTTCTAAGAGTACATCCTCTTCACCATATTCCTCAGCTAATCAGTTTGATATAATTGATCTCAACTCAAAGGTTGGGAATTGCATACCACTAGCCAATGCACGAATTGGAACATGGGTGCATGATATTGAGTGTCATCCTGGTCAGGGTGGGAAGATGGTTCGAGCAGCTGGTACATATGCTAAAGTAGTCCAGGAGCCAGGTGTGCGGTGTGTTCTGCGGCTTCCTTCAGGTGCTGAGAAGATTGTCGATTCAAAATGCCGTGCTACAATCGGTATAGTCTCCAATCCAAGCCATGGCACACGCAAGCTAAGGAAAGCAGGGCATAGCCGGTGGTTGGGCAGGCGCCCTATTGTCCGTGGTGTTGCTATGAATCCTGTGGATCATCCCCATGGTGGAGGCGAGGGGCGTACCAAAGGAGGCAGGCCTTCAGTTTCTCCTTGGGGAAAGCCCACTAAAGCAGGGTACCGGTCACCAAATGTGGCCAGCCGTAAAGCTTCTTAGTGTGATGTAACAAGCTCAGATGGAATGGCCCTTTTTGTTTCGGATCTTTGTAGTCGAGAAAATAACGAACAGTGTTGGTGGTAGAGGGAACTGTGATGCATTATCTTGGTTGTGATGTAGGAAGCAGACAACAGAAAGTAATGTTTTCATTCCTATATTTGTTAGAGTGTTTTCTTTTGCAGAAATACATAACATGGCCTTCCAATGATACATTATCTTTCACTCCAGTGTGAAACATTATCTTTGTCTTCAATCCTGATTAGTGCATTTTTTCCTTTATTCCTTTTCGTGTATATTTTATGACATATTCTGTTGTGGTGCCACTGTTCTGATTGAGAAAGGATGTTCTTTTCTTTTTGGCCAAGGCTTGTCCACAGACAATAAACACATGCTGGGCCCCTGTCTGTAAACATATTTCAAGACAGGTTCTGATTGTTACAAAGAGTATGAATTTGGAAATAGCGACGCAGATCATAGTCCAACTCTTTACTCTTGTGTATTTCTCTTTGTTTTATTGCAACTGAATTTATTGCTTAAACATGTGACTGTTTTTGTTTTGTAAATCAATTTTCTTCTCGTGTACTTTGCCCATGAATTGCCTCTCTCTGTCCTGGTACCTTCCTGCTAACCAACGCCACGGCCTACGGCAACCTTCGTTGCCTGTAGTATCGACTCCAAATTCTCTGCTAGTGTTTTCATCTTAAAGTGACTGTTCAATTGGCAAAGGAATGTCTACTAATTTGGTTTGGCCTAACAAAATTATCTTAGGTACTATTCAAGCACAAAAATTGGCGTGTCTTGCTCCGGATTCGATTCGAGTGTCTGAAGAAAAGGATGCTCCCTTGATGGCACTATCCTTGAGACGTCTCCATATACTTGGCTGCAATCGTGTCTGTGACTTGGACAGTTTGACAGCAGTTTCTTCAGGATTTTTGAGCTTGTGCAGTGTTTTCGGATCTTTACACTCCAAAACATCTGAAACGGTCTGGGCTTTCAGTAATGATTGATTGATTTGATTTCTTCTTTAACATCATTGTAACTGCCAGGTTAGTTTGTGGAATGTGGTATTGAACGTATTAGATCACCTTCTAGTAGAACTACTCCGTAGGATGTATGGCTTAAGATGGCACAGCACTGTACGCATCCAGTAGAACCTTTGCCTAGCACGGGCACTCGTCCAGGTTTCCGATTTGGACGCCTCCAGCTGAGATTGATGCCTGGAGGTTAACCGGGCTGGGAGGCTCAATTAGTTCACTAACGAACCTAGGTCAACCCCATCGAGTTGATACGTGCCTCCAGAAAGCTTTATTGGTTGCAAGACCGTTTAAGGCTTAGATTAATAATGTAAAGCAAGCGATCTTACATATTTCCAAAACTGATGTACTCTAGTACTTGCTTACATACACATAGAAAAAGGCCCAAAATGATGTTGTATTCTACTTGTTACGCAAAGAAAATGGAAAAGGTTGAAAAGGAGAAAAATTAAAAAAAAAGGAAGGACTGCAGGATCCGATTACAAATACATGGGCAGAGTTCGAAAATAAGTAATACTCCTATATATATGGGCTGCTCAGCCATTGCTTCCAACTGGAATGAGCACAGAAAAGCTGTGATTTCAAATTTAGATGTTTGGAACACCTGAACAGTGAATAAAATATATTTCTGTCAAGCATAGGGCGACACTGTTTTATTGGACAGAAAGGAAAATAGCACTGTGGAGTCAAATAACTTAATCAATGAAGATGAAATCTATAATCATTAAAATAAAACAAAATGGAAGAACGTTGAAATCCACCTATTCTACACATGGTCACATATCAAATGTATGCGCATCTGGTCCAGGGAAATGAAAACAAAGTATAAATCATGAACACGCATCTAGTCCAGCTGGTGAGGTGAGCACTGGGGAGCATCAGCACCATCCCAATAGATCAGTAATTCAGTATCCATCCACATGATCTAAGCCACAGGAAACAGATCAGTTTCCGAGCTGAGGCTACAAAAGCAATTAAGAAGGATACAATGTTGCATATATGCAGATAACTTGGGAAGTGCCATTTCAGCCATGAACTTGCATTTGGAGTGACTTGAAGTACTCAACTGTCTCATCTAGTGTCGATGCTCTGTCGGTCTGAACAATCAGCAGAATCAACACTACTATTACAATAGGATCAAATTGGACAGAAGCATAAGCTGCTCTCTGGGTCTGTCCATAAGCATGCGTTATTAGTGTGCTAGAAATTGTTTCTACACTGTGTTGCGGTGACACATGAGTTCTTGCAAAGCAAACATATTTTCGTTGATCCAGCCCCTTCTCTGCAACAGGAGAGACATCAACCAACTTAAGAACAAACCATGGTAACTGCCAACTGCGCCAGGATGAGGAAGGGGAGGGCGACGTCAAATCATTGATGATTTCAGCGACAGAGAAAGAAAAGCAGAACATCTGAAACTCACTGCTATATCATGTTAAGAAGAATAGCTTAGGTGGTCATATTTTGAGATGAATAATTCAACTGACTGATAAAACCATAGTCATGCAATTAATATTGATATATCTACACAATGCAAATCAATGTTCAAGAAACAGATGACACTATCCTTGAGACTTCTCCATATACTCTTCTCCTAATGTTGGCTACAATCCTGTCTGCAACTTGGACATCAGTTTCTTCAGGATCTTTGAGCTTGTGCAGTTCCTTCGGATCTTTACAATCCTTCAAAACATCTGAAACAGCCTGGGCTTTCAGTAATATTGATTTCTTCTTCTCTATAGCATCATCTCCTTCCTTATCCCTGTAACTGCCAGGTAACTTTGTGGAATGTGGAACTGAACGCATTAGATCTGCCAACTTCTGTACCAATTTGACTAAACCAAGCCGCTTTAGCTCTTTCATAAGCATCCGGTAAGTGATATACTGGGGCACAATCCCTCTCTCAAACATCTGCTCAAACTCCGCAAAAGCCTCCTCAAAGCGATGGCGTCGGCAAAGCAAATGTATCAGCATGGTGCTGGTCGCTTGATCTGGCTCAAAACCATTATTTCTCATCTCCTGAAGCATTTGCAGCGTTAATTCAAGCCGGTTCGCCTCGCACAACATCTTGACCAGAAGGTGGTAAGTGAACCGGTCTGGCGCGTAGCCATTGCTGACCATCTTCACGTAGAGATTCATTCCCAGCTCAATGCTACGATTCCTGGAAAAGACCATGAAAAAATAGTTGTATGTCCTTGCAGTTGGTGAAATGCCCCTCCCCAGCATGGCCTTGAGTACTCCACTAGCCCCGGCAAGGTCTCCGTGCTTGCAGTAGCCGAAGACGAGGGAGTTAAATGTCGAGATATTGGGTGCCACGCCGTACAGGGGAAATTTCTCGAGCACCTTGTGTGCGTCCCCGAAACGACCTGCCTGTGCAAGCGCATAGACAATGGGGTTGCAGGTGAGCAGATTGGCCTGGATCCCCTCCTCCCGCATCTGGTCGAGGAGCGCCATCGCCTGGTCAGGCCTGCGCATGACGCAGTACGCGTCGATGAAGGTCCCGTAGGTGACCACCGTCGGCCGCACGCCCTCATCGCGCATCGCCGCCCAGAGCTTCTCCACCTTGTCGAGCCGGCGCGCGCGGGACCACCCGTTGAGCAGGACGTTGTAGACCCGCACGTCGGGCGCCCACCCGTCGTCCTCGCGCCGGATCTGCGCGACGAGCGCGCGGCGGCGCGCGAGGTGGCCCTCCTTGCAGAGCGCGTCGACGACCAGGATCAACGGGGATACCGCCGCCTCGGCAGCCGGCGCGCCGTCGTCGCTTTCGACGGCGTAGCGGTCAGGTGGCGTTGGAGGAAACGGAACGCGCGGGCCGCGGAGTTGGTGCGGCCGAGGCGGGCGTAGCGGCGGAGGAGCGGCGCGAACGCGGCGAGCGGCGGCGGCGGGGAGGATGCGGCGGGCGGGAGCAGGAGGAAGCGCCAGGCGGCGGCGAAGAGGCGGCGGGAGGCGAGGAGGGAGACGGCGGTGGCGGCGCCGGCCCAGCGGGCGAGTGCCGGGATCGCGGAGTCCGGGAGGGTCGGGAGCGCGGGGCGGAGGTGCTGGAGCAGCTCGGGGGTCGGGGCGATGCCGGACGCGGGGAGGAGGCGGGCGGCGTCAGCTCCGTGGAGGATGGAGAGCGCTTCGGCAGCCGCGGTTGGAGTTGGAGGAAGCATCTCAACCATCGCCTTCCAGTAGAACGGATGCAGTGTGTCTTGAGGTGACGTCGCCACCGGCCAGACCCCCCTCCCCCTTCTCGGAAGTTCCGAGGTCTCCCAACCTCCGGCGGCGCTAGGCCCCGCTGGAGCTTGGAGACGAAAACGTGTGCCCCTGTGAGCTGTGAGCTGAAGCTGATGGGCCTGTAGTCCTTATATTTGTGAATGCAATACAAAATAATTAGGTGTCACTTGCTGTGTGCTCTAAGATAATACAATCACCTAGCATTACAGTTCAAACGCCACCCCCCCCCCCCCCCGCCCCCACCTTAAATTTTGAATATGTCTACTCAGTAACGGGTTGTTTTACACTCTCCTAGCAACTAATTTTTTCCTATGCACTTACACTGTCTTATAGCTATATTTACACCGACTTATTACTATATTTATAATAATTTCTTCAGTATAATTTATTGGACAGAGTGACGTAACTTCGGAAAATTGCATATCTCAAACAAATATATGCCAAAATTTTCAAAATTTTTCTATGGATTTCATATATGAGAGAAATATATGTCAAATTATTCACAAATGTTATCAAATTGTTCACAAATTATTCACAAATTTCAGAAAAAATACAAATTTCAGAAAATCAGTTTCTCTATTTAAGAAGTCCATGGCGGACGCCTAAGGAACGTCACATCCGCACCAAGAGATGAAGGCGGCGAGCTCGACCTCGTGGTGTAGCGACTCGTGCGGCCCCGGGATCTCCACGGCGGTGGTGGCCACTCCAGCGTGGAGGACCAACGAGGTCGGTCAGCTTCAGGAATAGGATGGGCTCCGACGCGGAGACGGAGACAGAGACGGAGAAGGTGGCGGCGAGCGACAGCTTCGTCAAGGACACCTACGGCGAGGTCAGGGCCACCAAGCAGCTGCCCGTCATGCCGTGGGCCTTCTCCGTCGCAAGGCGAGTCGAGCGGAGGTGGGTAGGTGGCCGGGCGGAGGTCTCACGATGCGGGCGGAGAAGAATCGGGGAGGGTGGGGGATCCAAAGGCCTAGAAAACGGCATATTCTGAGGCTCCGAAACATGCGGTTATCAATTAGCAAATCTGTAAATTTTACTCCCTCCGTTCCTTAAAATTTTGGAATAGAGGGAGTTTGGTACAGATCCACCATACCATTGACTTCTCCCAAAAATGTTGATCACCAGCGAGGAGCAGATGGAGCTTGACAGGCCAGCTTTCCTTTGTCATATCTCCGCTTTAACGCATCGACGTAAGAAATTTCACTTGTTCGTGTTATCCTCAGGTGGCTCTCATTGCTAGATGCCTAAATTCCTAACTAACTAAACTTTTTAATACTACATTTTTCAATTTCGGTACTACATTGCCTTATTATAAACAATTATTGCTATAAATGATATTTAAATATTAAGTTGCAAATGCCTCTAAACCTACATCTAGTCATTACCCACAAAACCTACGTCAGTACGTCACTAGATATTACATTGTTGAGAAAACAATGCTCATTACCTTTACCTTAAGTTAACGAAACGATGAAGAGCAGAGCGAGCTCGCAACTGCCAGCGGCCTGCCTGCTCCTCCTCCCTCTCGTGCCGTCGTGCGTGACCCTCTCTTCTTCCTCCCCGTGCAGCACTCTCTACTCTGTCCACCACCGAAGTAGAACGGTTGGACGGAGTGAAAGCCAGAGATGGAAAAAATGGTCAGGCTCAAAATATCAACCGTTGGACGCGATGTGGACTGTACCTAATTTAGGTGGTGCTAAACGACTTGCTACGTTAGACCGTTAGACTGATGGTTGAGCAAGTTATTGGCAATCCCATGCTACAAGGTCTACGCGGTAGCTCCACGTCAGCAGAAAGTGTCACACAGAAGATAAGTCCTACAACGGCTCACGTTTACACTGGCCCGTTCGCTTGTCTTAAATTTGGCTTGTTCGGCTTGTTTTTTCAGCCGGAACAGTGTTTTTCTCTCACAACAATTCAGCCGGAACAGTGTTTTTCAGCCAGTTTCAGCCAAAGTTCAGACCAGCGAACGGGGCCACTGTCCAAAACATTTGTGGTACCTAATTGTTCGGCTGATGGTTTTTGCGGCTGATAATCCGGCTAATGCTGTTTTGTTATGAGAGAAAAACATTATACTATGCCTGATAAGTTCAAGCGAACATAATTTTGCACTTTGACTTGGTATGGACCTTGTTTTGACATAGAAAGATGTGAAACAACATTCGTTACACCAGAGACAATCAGCACTACTTTAGCAGTACTTTTCAGCAGTGATGGACGGTGGAGGTCCAACCCTACACCTCACTACTATCATATGCACTTCCCTTGCATCCTCATAAAAAGTCTCTTCTGACAATGGTGATGGGCTACGCTAATGACCCGTTCCCACTCTTACCACCACAGTGGAAGTCCATCCACCCAAACATCACCAGCGGCAATTCCTACGGCGCAAAGCTCGGTGACCTCGACATGGTCAACACTTTGGCACTCTTTCCACGGTAGTGTTTAAACATACTAAATGATTGTTTAGGCGAACAGTGGTTAGTGTTAGTTGTAAGGTACTCCCTCCATCCCAAATTGTAAGACGTTTGACTTTTTTGCCCCAAGTTTGACCACTCGTCTTATTCAAAAAATTTATGCAAATATAGTCAAATTTAAGTCATTCTTGAAGAATTTTTATTAATAAACCAAACCACGACGAAAGAAGTGATATTTTACACAAATTTTTGAATAAGACGAGTGGTTAAACTTGGTGTCAAAAAAGTCAAACGTCTTACAATTTGGGATGGATTGAGTATTACTTAGTGTGCCTGTATATTACACCTTCTTCAAAGGTGTTCTTGAACTATTCCTTTTATAAATATAATCGTATATGTTCCAGGTTTCTTTCGAAAAATCATGGTACTACGTTGTAGCTGGGGCACTGTGATTAATGATTTTCCCTCTACAAACGAACAGTACTTTGACTTGGTATACTCGCTGCAACTTATTAGGCTGCCACTGTGGCTATTTGTAGGACTAGCTACAGTACATATTAGTTGTTTTTTTACAGCCACAGCAACAACCGCAACCTAAAGAAGCTGCAGCGAGCATTGCCAATTTTTCTCTCTCTTCCGCTCTCTCTCTCCCACGTGGAATCCTATAGGCAGCAGCCTGGTGCGGCAGGACCGAGCGTGCCTGGAGTGGCTGGACGCGCAGCCGCGGGAGTCCGTGTTCTACGTGAGCTTCGGCAGCCTGGCCTGCATGACCCCGCGGGACTTGGCGGAGACGGCGTGGGGCATCGCCGGCAGCGGCGTGCCGTTCCTCTGGGTAGTCCGGCCGGGCCTCGTCCGCGGGCCGGGGCAGAGCCAACAGCGGCTCCCGGAGAGGTTCGAGGCCGTGACGCGCCGGCGCGGCATGGTGGTGGCGTGGGCGCCGCTGGAGGAGGTGCTGCGCCACCGCGCCTTCGGCGGGTTCTGGACGCACAACGGCTGGAACTCCACGATGGAGAGCGTCTGCGAGGGGGTGCCCATGCTGTGCCGCCCCTACTTCGGCGACCAGCCAGGGAACGCGAGGTACGTGGAGCACGTGTGGCGGGTGGGCTTCGAGGTCGGCGGCGAGCTCGAGAGGGGCAGCGTTGAGGCGGTCATCCGTCGGCTCATGACCGGTAGGAACGGCGCCGAGATGAGGGCCAGGGCCGGCGAGCTGAAGAAGGCGGCGGCGGAGGCGGGTCGTCGTGCCTCGCCATTGACAAGCTGGTCACGCACATCATGTCCCTGGACTCTACTCGACGCGAGGCGGCGAGCTTCAAGTTTTGACATGATAATAAACAGTTGAAACTCTTTGCCTGAAACCTGATGACTCGGTTAAGTTTTAGTAGTTGTGAATCTAAATCTCAACTCTTTTTGTTAACCGGCTGGAAATTGAAAGTTAGCGTCTCAAAATTTTCCGGGTTTTGTGTTTAAGCGCCTCTGTATATCATAGTGATGAGAGATGCCCCAGTGCTCCTTTCGCAAAATGTATTGATGCAGGCACGTAATTACTTAAAAACCATTTGTGTATTGGCACTTAGGTGCGCCAAATACCTGAGCAGGACATTGTGCTACCATGCAAAGGCACTCTCTCCAGCACCCTGCGGAAGCCGGTCAGGCCAGTTACATTGCAATCGTCGGGTAGACCAACGAACACTCGCCCATGACCATGGGAGACCTTATCGGGACAAGCTCACTCTAGGTTGCTCTAACGTTAGCATGCCAACTTGAGCACCTTCAATCGCCATCCAGATAAAGGAAGAACAATCAATTAGGAGCAACATATTAGGACTTGAAAGGTAAAAATGATAAACTGTTTTATTTTGAACCGATTGGATTTCCTCGATCATCATTGGTCCTTTATATTTATACGGTGAGATCTTGAGACTTGCTAGCGCTCGTACGTCCCATCTGGGGCTCTAGCATCAGACAGTGCTCCTGAACATGTGCCTTATGCACCCATCCCTCTCCAGAGGCCGTGCAGGCCCACGCATGCGGGGGGACCACCGTGAGGCCGCTCCGTTTCACACGCTCGCATGCACACAACGGCACAAGCACCAGCACCACCACCAGCAGGCACGTGTGGTGACCCACGGAGGCGCACTAGCAGCAGTGTGCATCCCCGAGATCTACTTTTGAAACATCCAAATAAAAAACTTGCAATATACGTCTGAAAACAGATGAAACACTTGAAACATGCGCCTGAAACATGCGTATATAGCCATAGCAACATGTGCAACACCAGATCTACTTTTCAAACATCCAGATGCAACACTTGCAACATATAAAAGAAAACAGATGCAACACTTGCAAAAAAACACCTAAAAACACTCGAAACACATAGTAAAACATACGCAATATCCAGATAAAACACTTGCAATATATGTGTGAAACACATGCGACATCTAGATAAACACGCTTGCAATATACGTTTGAAAAACAGATAAAACATTGGGAACAAACGCTTGCAACATACGTGTACAAACCATTGCAACATCCCGATCTACTTTTGCAACATCCGTATGAAATACTTGCAACATATCTCTGAAACATATAAAATATTTGAAATGTACACTTCAACATGTGCTTTCAATGCAACATCTGTTTGCTGCTTGGGAGAAATAGAGGCTCGTCGGCGTGTGAAGTTCATCGGTCTAGAGCTCGCCGGTGGCGTGGTGGCCAGGGGGCGCGATAGCCGTCGAGCGTGGCGGTGGGAGCAGAGCTGTCCTCCATTTCTTCGAGCCCGACAACAGAGCTTTGCGCTATTGACGGACCGGCCTAGGGACACCGCAGCCTTGGACCAGACTGGACAGGGGTGTGGCAGAACCGCCCAAAATAACATACTTTCGGAGGTGCTCGTCTTTAATTAGACACTAAGCACCCCGAAAGTAAGCTACACCAGGCGGTTCCGTCGAGCACACCCTAAGGGAGACCTCGAACAATCCACGTTTTTCATCTAGAATCCAATAATAAGAACGAGTTTATAATACTTAGTCCATTCCATACAACAAGAGTTCTCGAAAATACATTATTACAATACCAAGTTTAGAGTGCAGAATTTAAACAGCGGAATTGAAATAAACATCTAATGATAAGATACAAGGATCCGTCTGTGCCCACCAGAAGAATCCTCCACACAACAACCACTCCTCAAGCTGCACCTGCAATAGGGGTAAATAAACCCCGAGTACACAATGTACTCGCAAAACTTACCCGACTAGTGGGAATAATTTTTCGACTCCAAAGGATATGATAAGCTTTATGGTTTGCTAGGTTCCTTTTGTGAAAAGCATTAATAGTAGTGAATCCTTATGTATGTGTTTTATTAGCAGTCATGATTAGTTTATTAGCTAACCATTCTATATAAGCACTTGTTCTACTTTCAAGCAAGAATTGAGCAATCAGATCCATTCATCTCCTTTCATCTTCCAGCTCTTACTACGGTGCTAGACCATAGGCAAGTCGTACCGTATCACACGGCCATTTGTGAACCAATATATCCTAGCTAGGTACCCCGAAATACACGCCCCGCTTGTACCCCAGGCACAAGCAAGACCAACCCACCACTCTCCTGTCAAGGGGTCCAGGTCCTCGTCCAAACTTGGACTCCAAGCCCCCACTCCTGAGTCCCAGACTCAGTGTTTTGTTTAGACCTCTATCATCCCCGCCTCCAATCATTCGGTTTGGAAAAAGCCAGAACCCACGAAAAGAGAGCAACGAGCCTTCCCGCTCCCATAAGCAAGTATGTGCTCAGGATAATAAGTCTGTGACCTAACTACCATCTACAGCAACAGATGGTCCTTAACCGACACGGACAGGGAAAACAATGTAACCAAGCTATGCCCCGTTAGCCGTGGGACACAACTTATTACACCCACCAATACCTATACCATATCCCTGTCCGGTCTCCATTTCCTTTCACTATTTTATCATGAGAGTAATAATAATAATCACCTATTGTGAGTAACGACAGGTTACTCACGCTACCGATAGGCTAAGCATAGCAGTTACTCGACCTATGCTAGTAGGACTCATAGGCAGGTTTATCTATGCACGTAGTTTTAATATAAATCCTGTAACGTAAATGCTCATCACACATATATATATATATCCGGTGATTATTCAAAATATGGGTTATGCATCGGGGCTTGCTTTGGGCAGGCGGATTGTTAGCTATGTCAATCGTTGGTGGCTGTGGGGCTTCCTCCTGTATGAGAATCTCCTCCTCGTACTCCTCGATCACCTCCTCGTACTCCTGCTCTCCGGCGGTAACGAACTCCACCAACTCGTTCTCTACATGCATGCAATAATGATGCAACACTTAGTATTTTGGCAACAACAACTCTTAAAATAAGAATACACATGTTAAGCTCTTAAGCTAGCTCTAATGACTAATATACTAAGCTAATCATTATCTCTACCAAATAGATTTCAAGCTCACCCTACAAGTGCTTAACTTTTATAAACTAATATCATGCCATTATTCATTTAGTCTTAATGGGTATTTAGCTACCATATTAAGTAGTCTATTTTAGGGCTACAAAAATTACAGTGAGCACATAATAATACAATGAAGCTACTATAAAAATTTCGGGTTTTTGCTATCACCAATCTACCACAAAAATTCCTATAATTATTAATCAAAATAATACTAAGCATCTCAGCTATTTTAATGCTCCTTAGCAACCACACAGATATGTATGAACTAACTATACTAACAGGTAAACAATGTTTTTGGGAGCATAACAAAATTAGTTTTATAATTTTTGGATATCTACATTATTTTATATTAATTACCAAAGTTCAGCTCAAAATTAAAATGAAAAGCTATTTCTATTTTCCATGAAAAAAATAAACCGATTTTGGCGCAACGCGGCCCACGCACGGAGGCGGCCCACGGCGGGGAGCCCACGCGCGCTGGCACTCTTTCAAAAACGCCCTCGCGTTATTAGACAATAACGCGAACACTACACGTACTATTTCTATAGACAACGACTTTGTAACGGAGCCCTCGTATCTTTTCATCTTCGCACCGAAGAGGTCCCCGAGACGCCCCGTGGTCACCAGCGCGGCGGACGGTGGCACTAGGCAGTACGCCGGCAACAGGGCGCACTGGAGCGAGCTGCCACCACGTGCGGTCGCCCACAATGGCGCCACGGTCATCCTGGCGAGCTACAACACTAACAGGACGGTAGAGATAGGGAATAAGCACCAGGGGCACACCGCGAACCCGGTCGAAGTGGTGGTTCGGCCGGCAACAACCTGAGCAACGCTAACAAGAAAAAAAGTGCATTGTGGAGTCCTAAGCCAAGCTAATAATATGAGGAGAGGTAGAGGAAGACTGAAATTGACATGAGGGGAGGCAATAAAAAGATATTTGAAAGCTTAGGATATACCTAGAGATCTATGTTTGAATAGGAGTGCTTGGAAATCAGCTATTGAAGTGCCTGAATCGTGACTTGGGGCTCCTGGTGGGTTTCAACTCTAGCCTAACCCAACTTGCTTGAGACTGAAAGGCTATGTTGTTGTTGTTTTAAAAAGTTATCTATATATTTTTCTGGGATATAGATGCATTTAAAAATACTAAAATTTGATTTAATATTAGAAAGTTTGTTTTAACTCCAAAAATATGAAACAAGTTTCAATTTTTTGTAAAACCATGTTATACCATTTTTCGATTGATGTATCCAATTGAAAAGAACAATCCATTCACTTTTTTGCACTTTGAAAATTCTCTTTCAACCCCCAAGACCTTGTTGTTCTACGCATCTTTCGACAAGATTCGTGAGGGTTCTAGATGCCCTTGCCGATCTTAGAACATCCTCATATGTATTTCTCAAAGGGTTTTTTCGAGAGACATCCGTGGGTTTTAGACAAATTCATTGGAGCAAGGTCGGCTAAGCCAACTTGAAAGTCGGCTAGGCCAACTTGTCGTATCTCTGTTGCATGATTTGATTGTTGCGATCTGTTTTTTATTTAGAGAATCGTTGCGATCTGTGTTGTGCATGCTAGCCCTGGAGGTGTGGGTCTTTCTATGCGTCAACAACAACCAAACATCAAGATAGTTTATACGTTTATGATGGCTTGAGTTGTGTTGCATAAAGCCTAATACAAACAATAAATCAGACCTATATTGAAGTAGCAAACTGTGTCACATAAATAAGAAGTGAGCCATGGACTTAGATGCCGTGCTTTATCTTTTATCTTTCTTTGGTACCTTTATGCTTCTGAGTTCATTCATGGGGAGGGCAATGTAGAAGTTGAAGACATATGGCAAAGGTTTAACAATCAGATTTGTTTTACTTC